TCCGAAATCCGCTGATTCTAACTTCATAGCCATTCTTTTGCAAAATATTGGTTTGTTAATACAGAAATACCTATAAATAATCGATTATTCTTTTTGCAATTCGTAAGATTAATACTATTTCCACACACAAAAATAAAATAAAAAATTGTACACCTAAACTCTCGTAACTTTTTAAACACTGATTTCCACAATACTGGAAAAGTCTACGATAGCTGTTCAATTTCATTATTCAAGATTTGTGCATTCGACAAGTGGATGATTTCTAGATCAGAGCTGATGAGTTGCGCGAAAATAAACAACAATGAATAAAATCATTCAGCAAACGATAATGATAATGTTTTTATCCAAAAACAAAATTTTTAGGATAAAACTTTTAAGCATTACGATTATCCTTTTACAGACAAATTTATTCAGACTTAAATACAATATTTTTACGAATTAAAATAGGTTTATCATCTTGGCAAAAACGTTTACGTAGTCTATAATGATATGGTGCATGAAATCTAAAGTCATCAAACGTTTGTATTTTACAAAATGAAAAACTTCTCAATTAAGAAATAAATACAAAATTTAATCCGTAAATATGCTCAGAAAGGGCCAATTCTATCATATTGACGGATTAAATTTTGTATTACTTTTTTAGTAAAGTTTGATGTTATTCACCATAATAAATCGAATGTAAACATAACGATAAAGTACAGTACGTACATAACGATAGCGATAGTAAGTTAATCGGCTTTTAGAGGTTTAAGAGAAATAATCAATTTAGAATACTAACCTTAGAATTAGCATAGTAATTCGAAACTGTACTCTTGTGTCTTTAGAGAGATATGTTTTTGATTATGCTTTGATTGAATAAATAATATTACTCGTGAATACACTATTATTTTCTTCTGTTCTATAATCAAACTTCAAACCTTGCGAGAAACTGCAAGTAGTGGATGCTCCTCTACTCTAAATAAGTTGTTGGTTTCTTTGAATTGTTATTTTGATTTTGATTCTCATCTGCGTTATCACTAGATCCCTTAGTAAGTTTCTTTTGAGTGATTAGGTTTTTACAGCAAAAGATATAATATTATTTTCTTGAAGATTGACAAACAAATTAGATACAAAGTTCGATTAAATCAAACATACCATACATGCAGAAAAACGCATACATAAAAGGTGTATAGCACCACCGGCCAAATACTAAGAAAAAATAATTAAATCATCAAAATTCAAAAAACAAAAAACAAAAAACTTATCGTTATATAACTTTAAAATCAAATGAATAAATATATCTTTAAAATCAAATGAATAAATAATATTATAAAACTTAAGAAAAAATTTAGATTTTCAATACAATGTAAATGCTTCTAATAAAAATATCTGTGTTGTTGGATAATTGGTACCTCATAAGTTAATAGTCTTAGAGTCAAAAGCAAATAATAAGTTTGATTTCCGGGAAGATCTTGATTTCTGGCAATATTGATGGTTTATATAAATTAGAATGGTCAATGATAACAAAATTTTTTATCAAATATTGAATCATAAAGGAAATAAACGGACTTACGGAATGTCGAATCAACATAATAATTTTCAAACTTCTCAGGAGGAGGAACGCCCAGCATATTTCTAATATCATAAACGAGGCTTCACTTTTATACCTTTTAAAACCGATAAAATTATGCTGTATAAAAAAATTTACCAACAATAATTGCTGAAACGTAAAAAATTCATAAATTTCTTTCTTACTTGAAATGGTGAAAGAACATATTGATTATTCCTGAATGCTTGATCGCGCGCATCGAGGCCCCCACTGTTCTTTTTATCTTCGCCTAAAAGCGACTCCAGTAAATTATTATTGTATTCAATACCTCTATCAAAAAAACCTGCTCTTATATAAGAACGATAATTCAACTGCGATGAATCTAATTTCTCAAAAGTGAATTCGATGCGCTTTATCTTGTCTATATTGATATTCTTTGCCTCGTCTGTGTTATCCTCTATATTGTTCTCAGAGAATGCTGCGTTCTTATATGCATTGAACATGAACAGATACACACGCTTAGTTGGATCCTCAGATAGATTAGTTAGATTAAATATATATTCAGTGCAAATTGGATCGGGGTCGACTGAAATAACGTTGAAAACATAAGTATATTATAATTATTTGCCGTACTTAACGTTTCTTTTTACGGAAAGTGCCGCTCACATTAAATGCAAAAGTAGCATGAGAAAAGATGACTATTAAATAGTATTTAGTATAGAACATGATAATCTCATAAACTAGGAGTTTTAATATATGACTGAGATTTCGTAACAGTAACCAGAATAGGACCCTCATCTATCAGACTATACATCAAGAAGCAACCGTAATTATTAATTTTCTAGAAGCTTCGCAAGTCGTTAGTTTTCTGATTTCCGATGATTCTTATATTTGTAGTTTTATTAAATAATATTAAACAATAACGATAATAGCAATGATTATTCAATTTAATTGCTTAATTACTGGATAACGATAAACTTAACTTTTTTTGCTAGCATTTATTAACGGTTGACTATCTATTTGCTAAATACATGTAATAATACCCAGTTACGGTTAATTTATTCTTCTTTCATAAAAAAACATTAAAAAAAGCTTATCCCTAAACACTAATAAATTCATAGAAAACACAGCCTTAACCTTAACACAACAAATTCACAGCTAGTGGTATTATATCTATCAGCAATTAGGCTGAGTCCAAAAATCCCATTTATATATGTGAACTGAGTTCTGTTTATTCTTTACGTATTTAGAAATCAATATCGATATCAATTGCAACTACAGGTATTTTTTTATTTCCAAGTACATGTATAAATCACATTCACATTTCATATTAATTGAAACTCATATCAATATCGAGTGTTTAGGGTTGACAAGTGTCAGTTTATGTGTTCCAGACGAAGGCAAAATTATATTTAATATTATTTTTTATTGACCTCATTAATTTATTACTATTTCTTTTGGATTGCAAAACAGAAATTAACGAGGATGAAGATATATCGAGCTTTTTTCAAGAATAACTACAACTTTATAATGGAACACTTCCAATATCATGCTCATTACTAGATGAAACTGGTAAGCACATGTGAATGCGTTATCGTTATAGCACATTAAAATGATAAAAATTATATCTTTTTAATTTGTTAGCATCAAAAATATTAATGTTTGAATATATTCATCCTTCCCCCCACCCGAAACGTCGTTTGGAATCAACAAGTACAATTCCTCCTTCACCCTAAAATAAGTGAAAGCAATCATATGTTACAAATTGAAAACCAACATTTCTTTAATATGATACGTATCGTCATATTAGATCAACGTTAATTAACGTTAATAAATTCGTATTACGTACACGTACATGTATAAGGTCGTGGAAAAATTAAAAACTATAATATCGAACTTCTGATTGGTTCGCCGCAAGTTACACTAAAGAATTTGAAAACCATCATTTAATGGACGTACGTAGTACATGTACATAAATCGATACAACGACTTCCACACATCGATATCGATATAAATCATCATTTGTTAAATACATGTAAAACACTGTCATAATCATTAACGCTAACGCTAATAAAATAAATTCAAAGATGGCATCTCAATATAAATGGTAATAACGATAATATAATTACTATTCCTATCACTAAGTGACATATTACGCTACAACATATTAAAAGAGTTCGTACGTATTTTGTTATTTACACAACAATAGAAGTTATAAGAACCTTCTTTTTTATGCGCTCTGTCGTTTAACGTTACATGTAATGCATGTAATAACGATACAAATACAAACGGAAGTGAACAACGACTTTCACACATATTAATAAATCATCGTTTTTTAAATAAAACACTGCCATAACCACTAATAAACTCACAGATGGCATCTAAAACTCATGATTGTAGTAAATGCTGGTATTGTGAAAACAATCACTACTGCAAAGCGTGTTCAGTTCACAATATTCATGATTGTAGTAATAACTGCTACGGTTGTCGAAACGACGAGTACTGCAAAGTGTGTTCAGTTCACAATACACATGATTGTAGTAAATGCACCAAATGTCAAAAAAATGGGTACTGTCATAAATGTATTCTATATCACAGACAAATTTATGTTGAATGGTCTAGTGGAAATAAGGATATCGACAGTCTAACAAATGAATGCAAGGAAATTAGAGAATCTTTTGAATGGATCCCTTTTGAAAGATTTACCAATGTTGAATATCTTGCAA